TTGGAGAGGGACAACATGTTTGGGAGAGTGGAGGGACGGTGCAGGAGAGGAAGACCCTCGATGAGATGGGTCGATTCTGTGAGTGGAGTGGTGGGAATGAATGTGCTTGAGACAGCAAGGCTGGCACAGGATAGAACGGCATTTAAGGCTCTTGTACATAGGGTCGCTATGAGTCGCAGATGACTCAATGGCACATAACAACAACTATTGTAAATGGGAGGGGGGGAGCGAGAGAGTAGTTTGTACATGAGACCCTGGAATTTTAGTACTTTCTACTCCACTCTTAGAATATAAGAAATTGCTTACGCGAGCAGGTCAGGTTAAGATGCAAGAAAAGGAAGCAATTTCATTTGTTTTAAAAGAAACCTAGTTTGCGTTCTCTTGGTCAATGGATGGGTAGTAGATCTGAAAACACTCTGTGATTGTGAAGACTTTTGACCTTTTATAAAAACTGGCAAAAGGTAAATAGGGTCAAGAGAGTTCAAATCACAACTGAGCTTAAGACTCAAGCTTCTGTGTTTAACATTGCCTAACAGATTCCTTTATCCTTCTGTTCCTTTCCGCCCAGGCACAGTTTGGAATTTGAAGGACGTCTTACCATCCAGGAGTCAGGCGGAAGTAATAAATGCTGTCCTAAAGATCCTGTCTGAAGTTTTAGACGTGGATGCTGGCGAAGCAGTTATTCATATGAAGGCTGCCGAAGTGCAGAGGCTGAAAACTGTTGCCGAGACTGAGGAAATGTTAGAGAAGGCGTGTGGTGACGCTGTCGCTGAAGATGACGAAATGGAAGAAATGCCGCAGAAAACAAAAGCCAGAAGAAAGACTTTTGTTTCAGATTTACTTCCAGTAAGTCAGTTTGATGCTCTCAAACTTGGGTTTTCTTCCATTGATATCCTTAGCTTATTAGAAACTTTCAGCAAAATTCATTGTAAAGTGAATGTCAACAAAAATGGTTTCCCATCAAATTTTATTAAATCATTAGAAATTACTCCCCAGGCGAGGAAGGGGTGGGAAATAGTTTGTCTAAAATCAGGGGGTGTTTTTGTTTTTGTTTTGGGGTGTTTTTTTTTTTAATTTTAGTTTTGGGTTTTTGGTGTTTTTTTTTTATGTGTACCATCAAATTGGATCTGACTGGTACAGGAGGAGATTGCCCTTTCTTCTCCAGCAGAGCATCTGGTAGATTTGAACCATGTATATCTGGGATTGCAGTGCAGCTTCTTGCCACTAGACCACCAGAGCTCCCCTGAAATCAGATTTATAGACAGGAGATTTCAAAGATGGGATAGACCAGTACTTCTTCCCCCCCTCCTTTATACATGTACTTTGTGTTTTCTACAATGATTGATACACATTATATTTTATATCATTAATTACCATTGCTGTATGCCTACTCTCACCCCCTCTTTTCAAGCCCCCTTTCCCATTACTTCACTCCCCTCTGCCCAGTGATTTTTTTTCCCTTCTCTTTTCTCTGCCCTCCTTCTCTCCCATTTGAACATTTATACACATCTTACTTAGTCGTCTTCCTATTTTCACAGTAGTAGCCTGGTGTAATATTTGTCTTTATGAGACTAAGATATTTCACTCAGCAAAATGCTGTGGACCAGTTCATTGATGACACATCAGATACATCTCCTCTACTCTTACCCCTCCCACTTCAGACATAGGTTGTTGCTATGTCAAGTACAACCCACCGCCACCCTGTGAACAACAGCTCTGTGCCTTCCTTGCTGTATTCTGGGCCGTCCTCATCACCCTGACACACTTGAGCCCGTTTTCAGTCCCTGTGTGAGTCCATCTGGTTGAGGATCTTCCGCTCTTTCACCGACCCTCTACATTTCTAAGCCTGAGGTCCATCTCCAAGGACTGATCCCTCCTCACCACGTGCCCAAAGTATGTGAGATGGAGTTTTACCAGACATGCCTCCAGGGAGCACCCTAGTTTCACTTTTTCCAGAACAGACTGTTCTCTCGGCAGTCCACGCGATAGTCAGTACTCTTCTCCAACCCCACAGCTCAAAGGTAGTCTCCCAAACTGTCTTGAAGCTGAAGCAGTTTTCACTTTGCTTGGATTTTCTCTTGCATTATCTCCTTTTTTTAATTGTAATAAATTGTATGTTTAATTGTATGTGTGTGTGTGTGTGTGTGTGTGTGTGTGTGTAAAACAAAGCATTTGCAATTTGTACATGTACAAGTCAGTAACAATTACATCCTTCGTATGTAGGAGTGGCATCCACTTCCTAAACAACATGCCTCCGGAAACTCTATGAACTTTGATAAATGTTGCTAGTTGTATGGGGCTTCAGGCCTTTTGTTCATAGGGTCGCTATGAGTCGTGCTCAACTCAAAGGCAATCAACAGTACCACAACAGTATTATACAGCTATTACTATGATGTATTTCCAAATTCCTTTTTCACTCTTAACAAACCTAGAGACTTTGCCTTTCCGTTTCACCTGCCCCTGGTCATCACTGATAAACTTTGACCTCTCTGTTTCCAGTTCTAGATATTTTAGTTAATCGGATCGTATTTGTTCTTGTGTAACTGAATTCTTTTATCCAGCAAAAATGTTTTCAGAGTTCGTCCGTACTGTAGCATGTATCTAAATTTAATTTCTTGCTTTGACTGACTGATAACTTCATTGTGTGTAGGTATAGACCATGTTTTGTTTATCCAGTCACTTAGCCTTTTGTGTGTTATTTTGGTTAGTTTGTCTTTTTTATTCTCATCTATTTTCATAGTTAGCCTTACCAAAGTGATAAGCCAAACCTTTTGCTGAGCAGAGAAGGTTGGATGAGTGGAGAAATTAGTTTTTATAGACTGAATGATTATGAAATTAGTTTTTATAGACTGGATGATTATGATAGCATAATTATGCTAGTGGGTGTGTAGTTGATATAAGGATGTCAGATACAGAATTATTTCCTTAGTCAGCAAAGAAGGAACCATGTTTTGGGAGAACATGTCCCCCAGAAGCAGAGCAGGAAGCAGGAAGTTGGGGAGAATAGTGAAATCCGTTGGGTTTTGTTGTTTTGTTTTTTTTTTTCCATTCGGGGACCCATTTACCCTCTCTTCTAATGTACCAGGGATTGTGCTACATAGGTACTTAGAGGATTAAGACATGCTTCCTGCCCTCAGCCAGATGGATTGACACAGTGACTGCAGCAGTGGGTTCAAATGTGTCGGCAACTGTGAGACTGGCAGAGCATAGGAAAAGGGTTCAGATCTGTTCATAGTGTTGCTATGGGTTGTACTCGACGAAATCTTAACAACAGTCTACTCTCTTGAACCTCTGTCCCTCCAAAGTTGGGAAAGACAGGTATATAAACCCGTGGTTCTGTTGCCTTTGCTAAGAACAATTATAGGACTGCATACCAGTTTCTAAGGAGTTGTTTCTGTAGAGTAGGCATGCCGAGCCCATCCATGATGGGAGAGGCAAAGGAAGAGGGGATCAGAGAAGACTTTGAATAAAATGAAAGAGGTAGGTAAGAAAGAGCATGGTGAAAGCAGACTAGCGTTGTTCAGAGAGACTGCTCAGGCAGCCAGCTGGGGAGAATACAAGGGCCCTTCCTGGACGTGGGCCAGTCAAAAGGCTGTTGAAGTCGTTCTGAAGAATGATAATAAAGCCTGGTCTGGAAGAGGATGGCGTTAACTCTGTGTCACTGTAGCAACAATTTCAGAGGTGGCCTTTCCTGATGGATATGGGATGAACTGAGCATTGTTTTATGTCAGTGTCTTAGAGATTTGATGACTTTTTACCCAGTAAGAATTCTTTAAATGGAATATACTTGTTTTAAGGGCCAAGAGGATGCAGAAATGAGAAAGCCATTCTGTCCTTGAGTTCCTCACAAATCATGAAGTTGGCTGAAAAATCATAGCACCACTGTTTGGTGCAGGGAACAGTTTTACTTGAACCCCATTTTGTTGGATTTGACTACATCCAATTTTTAATGACATTTTCTAGTGAGCTCTGTGTCAGAATTAGTATTAATGCATTTGGGCTTTTTGCTTTTGGTAAAGCTAGCTAGGTGAAAGCTCAGCTTTGCTGTTTGTCTTCTAAAAGGGACATTTCTTAAAGAACAAGCAAAATTTAAAAAAAAAAAACACCAAGCTTTAACAAGTTCATTTCTTCAGTGAACATAGAAAGGCTAAGTTCTGTAGGCTTGGGTTATTATCTATAGGTGGAAAGTCAGGATATGAATGAAGACTTGTAGTTCTTTGCATTGTACTTATGAGGCCTCTCAGTTTATCCTAACAGATGCTGTACTATTTTATCACTCTGCATTCCTATTAAAAGAGAAGTGGAAATTTCATTTATTTGCTGCCAAGGAACTCCACAATATTGAAATGTTTTAATAAAAGAGGGGAGAATGGCATTCCTGATCAATTTCCCTCACTTCTAGGGGACTCCTACAGGGAATAAGTGAGGACCCACATCTGTGAGGATGAAGATAGGATTTTATCTTACTAGCTTTCCCAAAACAACGCAGAACTGTTTAAAAACGATTAGTTTTCAAATTTATATTAGGGGATGTAGGATTTACTTTCATAAGCATTATTTAAAAGACTGGGTGCTTATAAAATGACACACTCTGTCATAACAAAATCTTGCTTTTGGAAGTCATGGTAGCATAACTGAAGAGACTGCATGATTAACATGCTGGTCAGCCAGACACAGTTTCAAGTGCCATGGGGGGGGGGGGTGCCAGGCATGCATCGTGCTGATATGTGCCTGGAATACAGATACTCTAATCAGCCATGATCTCGCTCTAGAAGCTGTGAAACCTTTACAGGAATCCTGTAGAATATGCATGATCTGTTCAAATCGAGATTGTTGTTGTTGTTTCTGAAATCTGCAGTAGTAGAGAGTAGTAGCCCTGCCCTGTTTCAGCAGTTGGCTTGGTATCAGTTATGCTTTACTTCATGTTTTTCTGAATATCTTAACCCACTTTGCCTTTCTTTCTCTACCAAGTGTTTGATGCAAATCTCAGATGTTAAAACATTTCCTGTACATTAGTTTGGTGATCATAGAAATTGTTGGGAGTAGGAGAGTCACGTAAAGAAGTGGAACTCTATTCCAGAATGCCTTAGGAGGCATCATCATAGACTTTTAAGTGAATGTGAATCCAGCAGCATCTTATTTAGCTTTCAGTCTCTTAGTGTTTTTGTAGTTGAATATTGTATACACACACAAAACAAATAGAAATGAATTCTCTTCATATATATATTTTTTTTTCTGTGTGTGTGTGTATGAATGTATACATTGCCAAGCATATATCTGTTCAACACTATCTACATGGTATGGTTAAATGACATTGGTCAGAGTCTTCATGTTGTGTTCCCATATTATTTCACCACTGTTAGCTTAGGCTCACTGCTCCCTAAACTTCTCATTTATAATTTAGAGTTACTGTTGTCAGTTGATCTCGTTCGTAGACAATCTTTTAAAAAGAGTGTAGTGTTTTAGACAAATTTTTACTATTCAACCTTATGTACATTCATACTAGTAATAAAAAGAATACAAGTTTAGGGACTCCTGAGCTAATGCTGTTAGATTTGTTTTAGGTGGTTTTTCCTTATGAACCCAGTTTAGAGTTACAGTTAAATTGTTGCACAGAGAGGTTACTGGTAGATTGTGAATGATTGTGAGTAATCAGAGAGATAAAAGGGACTGTTGCAAGATTTTTAATTCCTGAGCTGGTAAATCTAAGACAATAAGAGATCCAAATAATATGATACATTCCATATTAGTAGAATGGTTAGTAAATTATTTTAAAATTTTTTCTTTTACATTGGTTTGCTTATAAAGTTCATATCCTTTGTGTTTCACACTATTCGTCATTTACATTCTGTTTCATATAATCATTCCCATTCGTTATGTTTTCTAAAATGAATCACCATTGAAATATGCCCACCCTTACCCTGTCTTTCCAGATCCCTCCTGGATCTTCCCCAGTTTCTGTATCCCCCTCCTTCTACCCACCAGACTGTGTGACCCTGTGATTTCCTCCTGCCCATCCTCAGCCCTCTGCTCCCACCCCTTCCCGCCTTGGATCCTCATACACATTTTACTCGTTATTCTAGTAAATTAAGTTAATGGAACATTATGCAGCCATTAAGAACACAATTTGAAAACCATTGAAATTTGGAAACATTCAGATACGATCCATGAATAAAATCTGTTGGTTTTACTTACAAACTTTATGCGAATGCCAACATGGCACTTTTGTTTTTCATCTGTCATTGGAAAATCACATAAGTTCGGACTACCAATTTTTAGAAATTTTAGCTGATAAAGTGAAATTCGTGTTATAAATTTTCAGAGACAGAGTCTCCTTCTTCCTTCAGTCTTGACACAGTAATCTACAAACAAAGCCAAGGTGTGAATATATTCATTCCGCAGCCACACTTTCTTAGTCATGTAAGAGCTTATTAGTAATATTTATTAATGCAATACTTATTAACCTCTTTCCAAGAAAGCAGCCAGTCCTCTTAAAGCAGGTTTGTTGTGCAGAAGTGCCAAGTGCAGCAAGTGAAAGCTTGTTACATGTGTTAGGCAAGGTGAATTCAGTTCAGAATCCCTGAATATTTATCCATTCTTTCCAGCTAGCTGATAAGAAACACTTTGAGACTTTAATTTGAGAATAACCATGCAGCTAGAAGTAAACAAAGGTTACAGTGGCAATACTCTGTATTGACAAGAGGCATTATAAATGATTGTTTGTGATTCGAGCACTTGTTTAACCCACCTTACTTTAAGTGTCCTCTGTTGCCAGTGCAGAAATATCCCCATGCAGGGAGCTCTGGTGGCCTAGTGGCAAGAAGCTGCACTGCAATCTCAGAGATACTTGGTTCGAATCCACCAGATGCTCTGCTGGAGAAGGAGGGGCAATCTCCTAAAACAATCAGATCCGATTTGACGGTACACACACACAAAATAATAATTTTTTTTTAATTTTTGTTTTATTATTTTTGTGTGAATGTACCATCAAATCAGATCTGACTGGTACAGGAGGAGATTGTTCCTCCTTCCCTGGCAGAGCATCTGGTGGATTTGAACCGTGCGCCTCTGGGATTGTAGTTGCAGCTCCTTGCCACTAGGCCACCAGAGCTCCCCTAAAATAATAAATTTTTTTTAAAAAAATCCCCATAGCCTTAAACTAAGGAAATGTACTAAAAAAAAAATTTTTTGCCAAACATTGAGAGTTGGTTGTTTGTTTTTGTAGCCCACTGACAAGGAACTGAGACAGACCACAGCACTCTTGTCAGCGCAGCAGACAGCTCTGGAAATCCTTGTCAACATGTGCTGCAGTGAAGGTTCGTGACACGTGCATGTTTAGACGTTCCCTGGGCTGAGAAGGGATCCTCCTTCAGGATTGTCTTAAATATTACAGTGCTTTGCACTCGTTCCAGATCCTTCTGATGACGAATGGGAGGAGCTGTCCAGCAGTGATGAGAACGAGGCATTTATGGAGACTTCTTTAAGTGAATGTGCCGGCCAGCTCCTGTCTCCCCTCTGCCTCTCCCATGAAATTCACACGGCGCTCACCACTTATCTCATCCCGAAGAAGGTACTCTGTTTTCATTTCAGGATTATTATAGAATAAGGGAAAGGCTTAAAGAAAGCTGTTCATTCTGTATCGAGAAGAAGAAAAATGCTTACTCTTCCAAGTTTTGGGTAATTGGATGATCTGGGTAGCGAAACAGCATGACTGGAAGCAGCCTAGAAGGTCTTTTTCAAGCCTGCTTCTTTTACTTAGAAGTAATATGTTCACATTTCTATAAAAAAATATGTAAAATGACCTTACTCTTCCCTTCTGTTGCTTTACTGCCTTTCTGAACTTAGGTTGTTGAGAAAACTGCCTTTCCAAACAGCATTGCTGTTGATATATGTTCTAAGACCCCCACTTGGAAGCCTTTAATTAGAAAGTAAGTTGATTTTTTTTTAATTTTAAAAAATGTTTATAATTTCTTAATATATTAAATGATGGACTGTTGAATAAATAATGCTAATTTTCCAAAGACCCAAGTTTTTGTTCATTCATGTGTGTGTATGTGTGTATATACACACACACATATAGAGAAATATGCACGTGTTTGAGAGTGTTCACAGAAATGGGGATCATAATTACACAAACCTCAAGACAACCCTAACATATAACAAGAAAATGGATCTCAACCAAAACTACTCACAAAATGGATGAAACTCATATATATTGTAAAAGAAAAAAGATACAGTATGATTCCATTATAAATAAAGTTGACAACAAATAAATGGATAGGAAAAGGGTGGTATAGTCACACAATGGAATATTATACAGCGCTGAAAAACAATGACCTTGGAAGACATGCTGAGTGAAATATGTCAGTCACAAAAGGACAAATATTGCATAAACACTTACAAAATAGGACTGACATGAGGAGTTGAGGGGGAAAATAGGAACAAAGTGAGTAGAAGATGAACACTGGATTGGAACAGATGAGGGGAAGAACTGTCTGAAAGGAATATATGATTAAGCATTACATGTAAGACAGCAATCTGAAACAAGAGGTGTGTTGCAGAGTGAACTAGGAGATGGGGCGGGAGAAAAATGTGCAGCAGTTAAAGTTTTATTGGAACACACAAAACTCTTACGTGTATAAACGCTTTTTAAAAAAGTCAAAACTAAAACATACAGTTTAGAAATACATAGAAAAGCAAGAAAAGATTTACCATAAAAGTTTGGATACTAATTATTTGAGGTGGGGTATGATTTTTGAATAGGTAAGTGGATTGTGAGGGTCCTCACAGTGTTTATATCTTTCCTAATTTATGGTTTCTAGGATGCTTGCTATATATAAATTATTGGTTAATTATTATTGTATGTGGGTTGGACTTTTTACTATGTATAGTCATATTTTTAAAAAAATTTTAGAAGATGCTATTTTGTATAACATTTTGACAAAGTGCATTGTTTTTTTGGCAGATGAATGACTCACAGGCCTAAGGCAGTTTGATTTGTGAGATAATAATTTGCCTTAACATTCTTTCCTGACTGATAGAGAATTCTTATTTTTCTTAGAAGTAGTCCTAGTCAGAACCTATAGCTCAGATTAAAAGCGAGTTCTGAATTTCTGTTAAGAATTCTCTTGATCACTCTTAGTGAAAGACAATATTGATTTCACTTCCTTTCCAGATTGAACACTATACAGTGTAGAGCCCTCGTGTGTTTACAGAGCCTTGTGTCCGCCCTGGATGTGGACCATCTGGGAGAAGCTCCAGCCATTCAGACACTTGCACAACATCTGTCCCAACTTCTGTTTTCTCAGCCAGGTAAATGTTTAGCCCTTCATGAGAGAGACCACTTGGATGGAGGAGAATTTTGAAGGGATAGGAGCATGGGATTTTTAAATATATACACTATTGTTAACAAACCACAGAAAGAATTTCTAGTCACAGTCAGGTATAGTATGTTGTTGTGTACTGTTGAGGGGAAACTGACCCATAGTTGACCCTTCAGCAGGTTTGCAGAGGCTATAAATCGCAAGGGGGAAATTACCTGTCCTTCTCCCCTGGAGCAGCTGGTAGATTTGAACTGCATGCCTTTGGGATTATAAGTACAGCTTCTTACCACTAGACCGTGAGAGCTCCCTATCATGTGTAGTACTGTGTGTATTACTGCCTGCGGCAGAATCAAGAACAGAGATACAGAAGCAGACTTATGAGTTCTGTTTTCTTAATTAAAATTATTTGCATATCAGGCTGAACCACAAATAATAGCAATACTGATGTGAGGTGCCAAGGAGTCAACTTTGACTCATGTTGACCCATTTACAACGTCCCAAATCCCTGTGCTGTCCTTAGAATCTCTGCTGTGCTTAAGCTGGTCCTTAGAGCCTGTGTCAGTCCACCTTCTCGCGTTCCTTTGGCTTTACTATAGTAGTGTCTTGTAGTGTTTTCTGTAGTTTTATTTGTTTTTCTGCATAGGTTTATTTCTAAATAATTCATCCTTTGCGTGACTATGGTAAATGGAATTGTTTTACTTCCATTTCAGAATTCTCTTTGCTACTTCAGAGGAATCGGACTGATTTTTGTATGTTGATGTAGCGTGGCACTTGGCTGAATTGGGGAATTCGATCTAGGAATTGTCTTGCCGAGTCTGGCATTTTTCACATGACTTAGGGAATCATGTCATCTGCAAACAGTGATGGTCTTATTTCCTCTTTGCCTATTTGGATGCTTTTTATTTACCTTTCTTGCTTGGACCAAGACTTCAGTACCACGTTAGAATAATGGTAATGCTTGGTTCAATTCTCATTAATAAGAGGAATGCCTCCTGTGTGATTTACAGCCTCTGAAAACCCTCCGGAGGGTCAGATAGGAGCTGGTCCTCACTCACCAGTAAGAAGTGTATACTGGTGTGAGTGATTGCGGTCATCTTTCAGTTGCCACTGTTGTTGTTAGGTGCCCACTCTGTCAATTCAGAGTCATAGCCCCCGGGGCAAACGAATGGAGCACTGCCCGGGTCCCCTGGCATACTCACAGTCCCTGCGAGGCTGACTCCATTTGTCAGTCACTGAATCAGACCATACAACTGAGTCTTCATTTTTTGCCATTTCCCTACTTTTACCAAACTTTTACCAACTTCTGCAGGGACTGGTCCCTCCCTTTAGAGTCCTTCAGATGAAGTCTCACCATCATCTTTGCTTTTCTGAAGCATTCTGACGGTACTTCTTCCAAAAACAGAACGTTCTCACATGATCTTCCTTCTCCTGGTAGTTCATGTATATTCAGTATTCTTCACCGGCACCAAAATTCAAGGGCGTCATTCATTGGTCGCCCTTATTCATTGTTTAGCTTGTACTCACCTATGTTGTTGTTATTGTTGTTATGTGCCGTCGAGTCGCTTGCAACTCATAGTGACCCTATGTACAACAGCCCTAAACTCTGCTCTGTCCTGTGCCAATCACACCGTCTCCGACACACTCAGCACGATTACCCCAGTCACTGAAACAATCCATCTTCTAGAGGGCCTTCCCCTCCTGTGCCTGCCCTCCACTCTTCCAAGCATGATGTCCCTCTCCAAGGACTGGTCTCTCCTTACAACATGTCCAATGTATGTCAGACAAAGCCTCAGAATCCTTGCCTCCAAGGAGCAGCCTGGTTTAACCCTCTCCAGGATGAACCTGTTTGTTTTCTTAGCAGTCCATGGTACCCTCAATACTCTTCTTCAGCACCACAGCTCAAAGGCATCAATTCTTCTTCTATCCTCCTTAGTCATTGTCCAGCTCTCTGATGCATAACAAGTGATTGCAAAGACCATGACCTGTATCAGACGCACCTTAGTCTCCAGAGAGACACCGCTGCTCTTGAGTACTTTAGAGAGGTCCCTAACAGCAGACTTTTCCCATCGCAGTACATCTTTTAATTCCTGGGTGCTGGTGCCAAGAGTGTTGACCGTGGAGCTAAGCAGACTAAAGCTGTGAACAATCTCAGTCTCTTCACCATCCATCCTGATGCTGCCAAATTGGTCCAGTGGTGAGAATCTTTGTCTTCTTGACATTGAGCCTCAATCCATATTGAAGGCTGCAGTCCTTGACCCTCTGCAGCAAGCGCTTCAGGTCCTCCTCAGTTGAGAAATACCATGGCTTCGATGAGGTACATCTTAGCCCTCAGAGTGACATTCTTTCTTCCTCTTTAGCACTTCACAAAAGTCCTTGGCAATTGATCTGCCCATTGCAACATGATGTTTGATTTCCTGTCTGCTCTTTCCATGAGTGTTGATTGTGGTTCCTAGTAAGAGGAGAAACTTGGCAAGATCATTTTCATGATTATACAGGCCAAGAGTCCTCGTGGGACAGTTCTGCTCAGTCGTGTAGGGTTGCTATGATTTGAAATTGACTCAGTAACGGCAGGATTATGGGTTTATAAGTCCTAATGAAGGACAAACAAAACTCAACAGATCAGATTATTAAGGTACTGTGCAGGGGTATAAACTTAATTATATACTATGGACAGGGGGCCGCTGCACACTCTTAAGTTTTGCCTTAAGCATCAAAAGTATTTTCATCGTAACAGCATATTCACATTGCTGCCAGCTTTTCTTTCACTCTCTTCTTTTTTCCTGCAGAATAACTTAGAGAAAGACAAATCTTGGGTTTCATTTTTGTGTTTCAGATTTTGCTAAACAAACTGACTTTCTAGAAGCTGCAAGTAGTGCCTTAAGGGCTGTTTTGCAAGCAATGGCCTCCAAGAACATTTCTCAGGTAAGATTTTAAAGTACGTACTTATTTTTTAAAAGAATAATACATTCTTGTAAAGAAGAATTTCAGGGGTATATGAAGTAAAAATTCCCGCTTCCCAACACACACACATACACACACATTCACACACTTTTTTTTTAATTGTTTGTAGAATCTCCATAACATTTTACTCAGTGCATATGTTGTAAATATAGATGAAGGTTGTCTTTAGCATTTTGTTATATATCTTTTCAGACGCACAGTGTACAGTTCTTCATCGGTACTTCTTTGACAGGCACTTCAAACTTTTAAAAAATCTTTTCATTAAAGAGATTGTCAAGCATTCCTGAAAGAATGTGGAGTGAATACATTCAGCATGAACCCTCAGTGGTTTCATATTCTGCCATTCTTAGTTATCCATACTCCCATTTTTACTTCTATTTTCAAGTCAATCCTGTTGTTGTTGTGTGCCATGGAGTTGAAACTGACCCATCGCAGATCTGCCGGCGGGTTTTCAGAGGCAGTTAATCGCACGGGAGGAGATTGCCCGTCCTTCTCCCACAGAGAAGCAGTTTCTTGCCACTAGAGATCCCTAAAGTAAATCCTAGACATCATATAATTTCAGTAATGCTTTATTCTGTTTTTGTGTACTATGTTTCTTATAATAAACACATTTTTTTCTTTTTAATTTTAATGAAAGTTTATAGAGACTTAGGGTTTCCATTTACTCACTGTTGCACTTTTCTCCATGCCCACCCGCTCACCTCCAATTCACTCTTCTTGAAAAGTAAAAGAGGCGAACTCTGGTGGTCTAGTGGCAAGAGGCTGTACTGCATTCCCAGAGGTGAGTGGTTCTAATCCACCAGATGCTCTGCTGGAGAAGGAGGGACAATCTCCTCCTGTACAAATCAGATCTGATTTGACGGTACACATACACACACAAATAATAAAAAGAAAAACTCATTGTTATGCAGTTCCTCCCCCCAAGTCCACTCGACTGTGCAGCCTTCATTCTGGACTCCTGTCATGACAATAATACCTAATCATATATCCCTTTTAAAAAGTTCTCTTCCTCATCTGTTAGAAATATCCTTTTACAGTTGAGTTTTTTAAAAAATTTCCCCTCCCAGTGTCCCTTTCCAGTACCATGTATTCATTGAAAAAACTTACTTTTGTTTCTTTGTATGTAAAATTATTCTCTGATTTGGCAGGTTTATAATGATGATGTTGTTTAACATATCATTATGTTTCCTTTAAACTAGAGGCTTAGAGTTAGGCTCATGTTTTTAGCAAGAAGAATTCCTAGGTGGCGCTGTAGAAACCCAAGCCCACTGCCCTTCTGTCGATTCCAGGGCATGACTTCAGTGCTCCATGGGGTTTTCATTGGGTTTCTAAGCTCACTGCTGTGACATTCCCTGAAGTACCGCTGCTGGTGATTCACCTGCTTTGAATTAGCAGCCCAGCACATAACACACTGCACCACCAGGCTTCCTTTTAGTATTAGATGTGTGTTACTTTTGTGCCGTGAACTGACTGAATCATAACGACCCTGTAAACAACGGCTCTGAGTCTTGCCCTATCCTGGGCCAACTTCAAGTTCTCTGACACACCTGACTTCACTTCCGTCATCACTGTGTCAGTCCAGCTCATCCAAGGTCTTCCTCTCTTGGCACTCACCCTCCACCCTCCCAAGCATGATGTCCTTCTCCAAGGACTGGCCCCTCCTGACTGTATACCCAAAGTATGTGAGACAGAGCTTCAAAACCCTTGCCTCCGAGGAGCAACTTGCTTTCACCCTCTCTAGGACAGACCTGTTTGTTCTCTTGGCAGTCAATGGCATCATGTTCTGTACTCTTCTGCAGTACCACAACTCAAAGGCATCAATTCTTCTTCTGTTATCCAAAGTCACTCCTGCTCTCAGATGGCATAGCAAGCAATTGAGAAGACCATATCCTGGATCAGGTGCACCTTAGTGTGGGAAGTCACTGTCCTGCTTCCCTGTCCAGTTCTTTGCTGTGTAGATGTGTACACTGCCTGGCACATACCGTTATTGTTAGGCGGTGAAGTATATGATTGCCACAGTGGGCTCTTGTGTGTCAGGAAGGTGTGAGGATGGCATGAGATAGATAGATAGATAGATAGATAGATAGATAGATAGATAGATAGATAGATAGAAAGAACAGGGTTCAGATCTTTTGTTCAAAGGGTCACTATGAGTTGGACTCTACTTGATGGCACCAAACAACAATAACAACAATATCTTGAGAAAGTAAAAAAAAGAAGTTGACCCTTAAAGAGATAGATTAACATATAGTGACTGCAACAACAGACGTAAGCAGAGCCAAGCTTGTGAGGAGGGTACAGGACCAGACAGGGTTTCAGTCTGTTGTACAAAGGGCGAAACAACCGGTGAGGGCTCGGTGTACCCTTGTTATACCTGCTCTAACTATCTTGTTACTGGACTTTTCAAATATACAACAATTGGCTTGTACTTGATATCAACCAACCAAAGGGTTTATGGACTTTTTGTCTTAAAATATATTCTGAGAAGCCTTGAACATTAGATTTGGCAGAACATGAAGTGATTAATAAATGAGCTTCATAATTAAGAACTCTTCTATATTAAAAAAAATCAACAGGTAACATTTAGTAAGGATAAGTATTTAGGGAGCTCTAGTGCTACGTCAGTCGATACCCCATCGATTCCTAGGCTTTTTTTCCCCAGTGCCTTCAGTGCAGCTTGAAATTCATTCTTCTTTACCACTGACTCTTGTTCATGTGGTACCTCCTGAAATTTTTCAGTGTTAATAAATCTTTTTGATACAGTGATTCTTTCCATCTTCTTGATATTTCCTGGATCATTCAACATTTTGTCCATGACATCTCTCAGTATTACAACTCGAGGCTTAAATTTGTTTCTCAATTGTTTCGTCTTGAGAAATGCCTAGTGAGTTCCCCCCCCCACCCCCCGACTCCAGCTCCTTTCACATTTCGTTATGTTATTGCTGTATCTTCTCGAGCTGCCCTTTGAAATCTTCTCTTCAGCTTTTACTTTGGCATCTCGTCCTTTTGTTTTGGCTTCTCAGGGCTCTAATAATGCAATTTTCATAGTCTCTTATGACATCCATTTTCTTTCTACTCCTTTGTGATAACTTTTTGTTCTCTTCATGGATAATGTCTTTGATGCTCTTCCACAGTTTCTCTGGCCTTCGTTTACTGGGGCTCAATACTTCAAACTTGTTCTTGAGGTGAGTCTTAAATGTAACTGGGATGGACTGAAGGTTGTATTTTGGTTCCTGTGGAACCAAAAGTTTTCATTTTCTTCAGCTTCGGTTTAAACTTGGACATGAGTAATTGATGATCTGTTCCACATTCGGCACCTGGTCTGGTTTTGACTCCAGATACGGAGCTTCTCCAACAATTCTTCCATGAATACAGTCAATCTGATTTCTGTGTGATCCATCAGGTGAAGTCTGTGTAACATCACCATTTGTATTTTTTTTAAAAAAGGTAATTGGAATGAATAAATCATTGTGTGAACAAAATTTGATCCATTGATTTCTGGCTTCATTTCTGTCACCAAGGCCATACTTCCTGACTACCATTCCTTCTTCATTGTTTCCAACTTTTGCATTCCTGTCACCAGTAATTATTAATGCATCTTGATTGTACATTTGGTCAATTTTGGACTGCAGAAGTTGTTAGAAATCCTCTATCTCATCCTCTCTGACTTTAAGTGTAGGTGCATGTATTTGAACCTATTAACAGGTCTGCCTAGAGTGCATACGGGTAGTATCCTGTCACTCACAGCATTGTACCACAGGATAGATCTTGAAGTTGCCTTTATAACAATGAAAGCAACAGCATCCTTCTTCAGTTTTTCATTCCTAGCCTGGTAGATCATACGATTGTCTGATCCGGAGTGGCCCTTGGTCCTCTATCTCAGTTTGCTGATGCCCAGAATGTCAACCTTCATGAATTCATATCATTTTAGCCAACTTCCATTTTCCCTACATTAGTACTTCGTACATTCCTTGTTCCAGTTATTAATGGTTGTTTGCAGCCATTTCTATTCATTTTTTTATTGACTTCCTATCTAGGCTCTACCTCTAATACTGTGACTTCCCACGATCCTCTCTTAATAGAGTTTTCAAAGGCCACTTGTTTGGAAAGTGGGTGGCCAATTCTTCTCCCTAATCTGTTTTAAGAATACTTAATTGTTCTCCTGAGAAATGTAGACTCAGATCAAGAAGCTGTTTTCCAGAGCAAGGGAACACTACATGGTATAAAATCAGGGAGTGTGTGTTTCAGGTCACATCCCTTCTCCATATGTATTTCCTCTGTATACTGTATATAATTTGCAAAGCTGGACTCTGTGGCATCAGCACTGGAGGAAGACTCATCAGTAACCTGCATTATGCAGATGAAACCACTTTGCTTGCTGAAAGTGAGGAGACTATGAAATGCTTGCTTCAGAAGATCAAGGACTTCAATGTGGATTACATGTCAACATCAAGAAAACAAGTCCTCAACACAGGACCAACAGTCAACATTACGATAGAATGAGAAATGATTGAAGCTGTCAATGATTTCATCTGGTTTGGATCAGCATACTTGGTAGCCCCACTCAGGAAATCAGATGTCTGCTGTCAGGTTCCTCTTTAAAGTGCTGAAGAGCAATGATGTGTTTGAATACTAGGGTGCACCTGGTACAGCCATGGTCTTCTCAGTCACCTGTAACACATCAGAGCTGGACAAAGAATTAGGGTGACAGAAGAATTGATGCCTTTGTGGTGTTGGAGAAGAGTACTGAATATCCCATGGACTGCCAAAAGAACAAACAAATACATCTTGGAGAAGTGAAGCCAAGATGCTCCTTGAAGGCAAAGATGGCAATACTTCATCTTTCATGCTTTGGACATGTAACTTGGTGAGGCTAGTCCTTAGAAAGGGACATCGTGCTTGGAAAAGTGGAGGGTCAGCAAAGGAGAGGAAGACCTTCAAAAAGACTTCCAGCAAAAGATTGACTAAGTGACTTCAGCACTGGACTCCAGCGTTTTGGAGGTGATAAGCATGACACAGGATAGGGCAGGGATCAGGCTGGCTGCTGATAGAGTCACTATGAGTCATACTCGAAACGAGGCACCCAACAACAACAGTGTCATAGTCCACTGGGGGTTGTACTGCTAATCCAAAGGTTGAGCTTCTCTGGCAGTTTGAATCCACTCTGGTGGCCTAGTGATAAGAAGCTGCGCTGCAATCCCAAAGGCACACGATTTGAATCCACCAGCTGCTCCACGAGAGAAGGATGAGCAGTCTTTTCTTGTGCAGTTTATTGCCTCTGAACACCCGCCAGCGGGTCAGCCGTGCGTTGATTCTGACTCAGTGGCACACAACAACAGTGGCACCAGGGAGAAAGATGGATAATCTTCTCTCATATGATTTGCAGACTTAAAAATTCAGCTAAGAGTCAGTTCTGACTTGACAGCAGTGAGTAAGCTTTATGATACATGTTTTATTTTGTTACTGCTTTTCCTGATGGAGAAAAGGACATGTAATGGATTTAAGTAACTTATTTGATTGCCCAGAGGCCAGTAGTGGAGCTAGGATTTGAATCCAGGCTGCATGACTCCATCGCTCAAGCCCTTAGTCATCGCACCACATTGCCCTCTTATACCAGATAGCAAGGGCCCATGGTGTTTGCACTGGCTCTCATGTGATACCGGCTGCCAAAGATATTTTCGAATTAATTTCAAATTACCACTATATGATGGGAGCGACATATCATTTCATTTTCTTATAGTCATCATTTTATAGTAACACACTTCAAAAAATACCTTGAATTAAAACGAAAGAAGAACAAAAGCCAAGCCTGTTGCCATCATATCAGTTCTGATGCCTGATAACTCTGCATTACAGAGTAGAATGGGTTTGTGGAGTTTTCTTAGCTGAAGTCTTTAGGAAAGCAGATCCCCAGGGCTGGATTCTGCTGCACTATTGGTTAAATTTGAATCACCAGCCTTTATGTTAACATTGATAAAAGACCGACTGGGCCTTATTGTGTGTGCTGTTGTTACGTACTCTCGAGCCAGAACCAACCCCTCCCCTGTCCCTCCAGCAGATTATCAGAGGTAGCATATCACACAAGAGGAGATGGCCCGTCTTCCTCCTGCAGAGCAGCTAGTGGATTCAGACCACATGCTTTTGGGTTGGCAGCGCAACTCCTTACCACAGTGCCACCAGAGCTCCCTTACCTTGTGTAGAGTCAGCTAATTTTCATTAAAGGTTGTTGTTATTGTTATATGCCATCGAGTCGCCTGCAACTCATAGCGACCCTATGCCCAACAGCTCTGAAGCCTGCCCTGTCCTGGATTAGTCTCACTGACTACGACACACCAACCCCCACTGCCCTAGTTTCTGTATCAATCCATCTCGTGCAGACTCTTCCTCTCCTGTGCTGTCGTCCCTTCACCCTTCTGAGCATGATGTCCTTCTCCAAGGGCTGGTCCCTCCTGGCCACGTGCCCAAAGTATGTGAGGTGGAGCTTCAAAATCCTAGCCTCTGAGGAGAAACTTGGTTTCACTCTCTCCAAGACAGATCTGTTTGTTTTCTTGTTGGTCCATGATATGTTCAAGATTCTTCTCCAGTACATGATCCTATTTACATTCTCCAGTAGTTTTCTTAATGGTTAGTGTGAAAGCAAAATAATAGAATCTCTTTAGTCTCTGCACATCTAGAATGAAAGCAAGTCTTTTTTGAATGAAATAATCAGACTGCTCCTTGGAAGCAAGGATTTTGAGGCTCCATATCACGTACTTTAGGCATGTTGCCAGGAGGGGTCAGTCCTCGGAGAATGACCTCACGCTTGGAAAGGTGGAGGGACAGCGCAGGAGAGGAAGACCCTCGATGAGATGGGTTGACCCAAAGACTGGGAGGTTGGGAGCAGGTATGTCAGAGACAGTTTGATTGTCTCAGGAAAGGATTCAGAGTTCACTGTACATACAGACACTATGAGTCACAGGTCACTAAATGGCACATAACAATCATTATAGGAACTGAAGCCCTCCATAACCTTGTAGCTTTGATTTAGTAGTAGCGGCAGTGACATGATCTGGCCCTAGTCTGGTTTAGAAAACACACTAGAGCTAAATTAGGGAGTGAACAGAAGAGGTACCAGCTTCCCTGTTAAGAATATATGTCCTTTTAGACGCAGTCTGTAGTGGAGATTGTTGTCAATCTTGGTTTCACGTTCTATTGGAATTGGTTCTGTTTTTCACTGTAATTGTTTTCCTTTTAACAGTGCTTGACTCCTGATCAACTGATGACATTATGCAAAGCAGGCATCTGCAGTAGTAACACTGGCGTTAGAGTAAATGTTGTCAGTATTTTAGGAATCACCGGCAGTGTCCTAGCCAAAGAAGACGGTACTCTTGAAACCTTGAAGGTAAGACAGTTTGCTTCCAAACACAGAATGTGAAATAACTAAAAAAAGAATAAATGTTGGTGTAAGAATTTTTTTTTAAATGTGACAAGGGAGCTCTGGTGGCCTCGTGGCAAGAAGCTGTGTTGCAATCACTAAGTCATGTGGTTCAAATCCACCAGATGCTCTGATGAAGAAGGAGGGGCAGTCTCTTCCTGTGCCGGTCGGATCTGATTCGACAGTACACAACAAAAGAAAGGGGGAAAGAGAAAAGTCTGACAACGTGGAACGACATCTAGAAGTTGCTTCTGAGAGTATTTAACTTGATCTAACTACATGTGAGACTAATTTACATCAGTCCTTGAGAAGCTGAGTCATATTTTGCTGTTTATTTTCACTCCAGAGGTAGTCTCTCAAAAATAAATTTGCCTTCAGAATAATTAAATGAACTTCCCTTCAAGAAAAGACCTACTTCAGAATTTCCCAAGATCTTTTTTTCCTTTGTTGTTGTGTAAAATATGTGTGTGCTCCCTTTCTACAAAGATGGCGCCAAAACGAAGACCAAAGCCCCGCTCCTCCTAAAACTGAAGCCACAGCAAAGGCATTAAAGGCAGAGAAGGCAGTGAAGGGCGTCCACAGCCACAAAAAAAGGAAGATCCGCATGTCGCCCACCTTCCATTGGCCTAAGACGCTGAGACACCAAAGGCAGCCCAAATACCCCTGGAAGAGCGCCCTCAGGAGAAACAAGCTTGATGACTGTGCCATCATCAAATTTCCCCTGACCACTGACTGAGTCAGCCATGAAGAAGATAGAAGATAATAACGCACTGTGTTCATTGTGGATGTCAAGGTCAATAAGCTGTAAAGCTCTGTGACAGTGATGTGGCCAAGGTCAACACTTTGATTAGGCCTGATGGAG